CTACCAATTAAGTGGAGATTGATCTAACATTTTGTTAATTAGCTTTCCAATAAGTGGAATCATATTGCTATTTAAGGAATAATTATTTAAAGAACTTTTTTTTTTTTTTTTTTAATCTTGTGGGTGAAATCCTGTGTAAATGATGCAATTTGATTATAGTAGAACTTCAAGGAGGTTGCTTTAAAGAAATAGATATAGGAGATTAGTGGATATAACTCCAAACCACTATAAATGTTTGAGTATTTTTTCTCTCTCAACTCATTTAATATTTCTTGTACATTTATTACTTATCTTTATTGTTGATACGGGATTATAACTTGTGTGTAGAGACCGAGGGAGGGGGGCAAAGCAAGGTCAACTGACCCTCCTTAAGTTTTAAATTTTTTTGACAAGTTTTACAAATTTGCCTCTAGGGGGCGTTTGGATCATATAATATCTGATTATAAAAAGATGCTATATTGACAGAAAGATAGATCACATTGAAGATTATTGGGATTGTTTAGAAAATGTGTTTGGTTGGTTCGAAAAAATTGGTAAATAATATGTTTGGTTGGGAGGATAAATGAGTGAGTATGTTATATAGATTACTAAATTGCCCTCCTTTTTAAATATTAATATAATATATATATATATATATTTTTTTTTTTTTTTGAATCATTTTTTTAACCCCCTACATTTGAAATTTTGCTAAAACACACCAGCTATATAAAACTTTAATTTATAGCAAAATCACCTCCACCCACTCCAAGCCACTGCCGACAGTAAGCCACCATCGCTGGCCGCAGCCGGCATTCAACGGAATGGTGCACGACTAGCTGTATATGGCCGACTGTGCATCAGCAAAGCCATTTTCGACCATGGATCACAAATCCATAGCCGTTTCACGGCTAGATCATGGCCATTTCACAGCCAAAGATGTGGCAGTGAAACGGCTAGATTTGTGGCCGTTTGCATGGCCAAATATGTGGCCATTTCACGGCCACATCTTTGGGCGTGAAATGGCCAGAATTAGTCATTTCCTGAACGACCAGTTAGATCCCGTCAGTCGTGTACCATTACGGCGACTGATGTTGGCAGACGGCGATGGTCTTGAGTGGTTGGGGGTATTTTGACTTTTAAACTTTTTTATTGCTAAGTGTTTTAGCTCATTTCTCAAATGTTGGGGGGGTTTGGCTACTTGTTATTTAGTAGACATATGAGGGCAATTGTGTCCAAAATGACATTTAATTAAGGGTAAAATAGGTATAAAAATCATATTACCCAATAATTTTTAATCGTACGGGTGGGGGAGGGTATTGGATTACCCCCTACATTACCAACTGTAAACACTATTTGCAATAAAAGATTCTCGTAATATTTTATTACTTGTAAACCAAACACCGGAATCTTGCAAAATAAATGAAGACTACCCTCGTTATCTTATATGCCCCCGATCCAAACACACCCTAAATGAAAAATAAAATACAAAAAAACTCCAATCCATCAATTAAGTTAATTTCTCATTTTTCTTTTTAGATTGTCAAAACTAAACCCCGCTTTCTCTACTTCCCAGACATGTTCTGTCTCTATTGCTCATAACTGATTGAACAACTTAGGTTTCAAATTTTTTCCTAAATTTCTAATTCTTCATCCGCACAAATGCAGTTTTCTCCCACCTATCAAGTCGACAAGCCTCTTTTTTCTTCAATCTGTTATGTAATACTAATACATTTAATATTTGTATTCTTTTATTTGGGACCACTAACATGTATTGGCCGATTTCTTTTTTTTTTTATTTGAATTTATGGAGAAAATAGATTCTTGGGAACACATTGTTTTATCCATTTTTATATTTGTTATACAAAAAAAAAGTGTTTAATTCAAATGAGAGTTATGAAAAAGTGGGTTTAATTGGACAAAGTGTTTAATTCAACGGAAAATATGGAATTATGGAATGGAAAAGGGTAACTTGTAAGTTCTAGTCTTTTTTTCTTCAAAAGTTGCTGATCCTAAAACTAGTCCATGTTTTTTTGCAACTCCAAGCCCAATCTATTACATCGAAACAAAGGCCAATAAAAAAAAAAAAAAAATGCTTAGCCCAAACCAAAGGAAGGCTTATTTTGGGATTACAGCAGCTTATCTCATAATCAACTATGGATCAACTTTAAAAATAATTAGCTTAAAAAACAATTTGTTATATGTTTGCTTTGTTATAGAGTGGATCTTTTGGCCACTCTCTAATGGATAGAGGTGGGCAAGGCTCGGGCCCAGTCGGTCTCAGGTTTGGGCCCAATAGGATCACCCCAAATTGGGATCGGTCTTGGGCCCAATAGGTCTGGTCCCAAATTGGGACCGATCTTGGGCCCATGTTAGGGCTTGGACCGGTCCTAGGACTAGCCATGGGCCCATAGGTCGGTCTTAGGACCAGTCCTATGGGCCTAGAAAATTTCTTTTACCCCTTAATTTTTTATATATTTGGGTTAAATTGAAAATTATGTAAGGGGGTTTATGTAATTATTCAGGGGTTATTTGTAAATTTTTTTAATTAATTAGTAAATAAATAAAATGAATGAGTATAATAGTTTTAATTTAAAGAGATAATTTAATTTTAGATTTGAAATTTTAATTTGAACTTAAATAATTAAATAAATATAAATGGATGATTAATTGGTAATAAATTTATATGACTTTAATTTAAAGAGATAATTTAATTTTAACATAATTATAATATTCACACTTCACAATGTGTAAATTTAATTTAAACCTAAGCAAATAAACAATTAAATATATTTGTTTTGATTAAATTATTAATTTACATAATCCAAATCTATGTTTTTGAAAAGGTCGAGTAGTTTGGGATCTTCAAGATGTTGTTGTAGTCTTCTGTTTACATGAGTCCAATCCCGTAAATATGTTATGACTTCAACCATCTAAGTGGTTAAAAAGCATCTTCTATCTTCAATAACACAATCACTAATTGAGAATGTTGACTTGGACGCAATTGTGGAAACTGGCACACATAAAATGTCACGTGCCATTTGGACTACAATAGGAAATCAACTTGCATTTTGGTTCCACCATTGAAGTAGATCCATTTCGCGTTTCTCTTTCTTAGTCATATAGGACATGCCCATTTGTAGATACTGCTACAGCTCATTTGGTCCATGTCTATACAAGCTGGAGCTACTACTTCCACCACCATCGCTACTAAGTTCCATATACGTTCACATGCTTGATACCTGTTGAAAAATATCTTCATCAGCTTCCTGCTGGTTGTCTATGTTAGGCATTCCACTATACATATTTTGATATAAATAAAAAAAGGTTTTCCAATTTTCTGTTAAATTTTATAAAATAAGAACTATAATCATGTCCTAAATGTTGGCCTATCTCAGTAACCATACAATTAACGTTTAATTTAAACCTAAATCTATAATAAGACCCAATCCACATAAGAATGTAATATCTAACCAATATTTTCGATATTTTGCTTATATGTCTGAAACAATATCCATTAAGTATGGATTATATCACTGTTTAGCAAAAGTTTTAGAAATTTGAAGTAAAATATTTGATGTTAAATTAGTAGTAGGATAATAAATACCATTTAATGTATTAGTAGAATCGTAAAAAAACTTTAAGAAATGAATGAAAAAGACTACAAACCGTCCAATCTAAATTGTTAACAATTTCGTCTAGATAGTTCTTCCGATTGACAAACTTTGTAATTTGTGTTGCGGTTGGCATAACTCTTTGCAACATCAAGAACGTGGAGTTCCAACGGACAAGCATGTCGCAACATAACTTATTTGGTCGAACCGGCGGCCACTCGTGGTAACAATATTTTATGTACTCATTCCATCTTGTATTGCCACCAGCGATAAATCCGATAGTGGCAGACACCCTTTCAATCCTTGCATGTCACTACTAGAAAAAACCTCATCCTTGACTGAATAATTTAATAGATTTTCTTGACTGTTCTTAAAACTATCCAGAATTTTAGGGTGCGTTTGGTTCATTATTTTGGATAGGATTTTGGGAATAATATTAGGTAGTTGAATAAGGGAGTATTACAAGGTGAAATTTAAAAATTTATAAAAAAGCCCCTAGGTTTACTAATTTAATTAAACACCCCAACATATAAAATAACAAAAATACCCCTACCACCTGCAGTGCCAGATTCCGACCATCACCGCCAGAATTTGGCCAGAAAATCGTGTTACAACATAGATAGGTCGGATCTATGTCCTAACGCGTCGTTATAGCCTTTTGGTAGATCTGGCCGTAAAAGACTAGATCTATGGCCTGCTATGGCAGTCGATGGCCGGAAAAGGCCAAAACGATGGTCATCTTTGACCGTCAACGACGGCCAAAGATATGGTCGTCGTTTTCGATCAACGATGGCCAAGATTTGGCCGTCGTTGACTGTCAACGACGGCCAGATTCACTGTAGATCTGGTTGGAAAAGACTAGATCGGTGAATTACCAGCCAGTTCCGATCAGTAATTCACCGTTGTGGTAGATTCTGGCTACCACCGACAGTGCTTGCTGGAATCTGTCAAGTATGGGTCATAGGGGTGTTTTTGTTATTTTTTTAAACCTTTTTTAGGGGGTATTTAATGAAATTGGTAACTTTATGAAATCTAAAAGTAATTAAAAAAATTGGGTAATATTTATAGAATAATGTGCCAAAGATTATTTGAAGAATAAGATTGAGAATATGGGTAGGAATAATAAACTAAACACGTCCTTAATTCTTGATAAATTTTTGACAGTTTCTGAACTCTCGAGAATTTGAAATATTCCTTGATCATTTTTAGACGATTCTTTATAGTTATTAACTGTTAAAAGACTCGGTTAAAAATAAATTTTATCAATTTTGTTTTTAACGGTTATAGTCTCAGTCCTTGATAATTTTTAACCGTCAAATATTAAGATGAAAAAACAAAAATAAAAGAACCTTAAAACATTTGCTATCTGTCATTTCACTAAACTCACCTTAAATCCTTCTCGGATCTTCTTCGTTCTCGACATGTCAATCGCTAATAAGATGTAATTTGATGATTTAAACTCAGATTGAGATGGGGTCCACGTTACCAAAAGCAGTGGTGTAAATGTAATTTGTCTCCCCCTTTTCTCTCTTCTCTACTCCACTTTTTCTCTTTATCCTTCCTGTTCTTTATATCTTGACTATCAAATTCGTCATGGTGGTACAAGTCTTAAATTATTGGGTTTTGGAGGTGGAGAGAGGTTAAAGCTTGTTTCTATGGGGAAAACGGCACGTGGATTTTTGTGGGCTTCGTCTGTTTCTATGTGTAGAAATGACAAAAGAGGAGATTTTGGTATGTATGATGATGAAGAAGATGAGACTTTGATATTGATACGGATGCTGAAGAAGAAGAAGAAGAGTTGAATGAGGCAAGTGGGTCATCTTCTTCTTTGCCTGAGAGGAATGTTTTGGGCCTTGGTCAAGCTACGATAATTTTCATTTCCTTCATTTATTTTTTGTGTTCTGTTTGATACAAAATGTAGAAAAATTGAAACTTTGAGGCATTTTTTTTGAAAAGATAAGAAACTTGATCCCTTCTTTCTTTTGGTTAAGTGGTTATGTTTTAGAGTTTGTGTGTTTGTATGTTTTTTCTATTTGATTCTTGAGAAAAGAAGGGAGTAAATCTACAGAACATAGAAAAATTGAAACTTTGAGGTATTGTTTGAAAAGATTAGAAAATTCGATCCCTTCTCTCTTTGGGTTTAGAGGCTACATTTGGGAGTTTGTGTGTTTATATGATATGTTCTGTTTGATTCTTGAGAAATTGTGGGGAAAAGGCTAGGAAATGTAAAAAAACTTGAAACTTGTGTCCTAATGTTGTTATTTCCCATATAATTAATTTTTTCTGTTTGATTCCTTGAAGAAATTTAGATGCAAGAGCTTTGAAATACTGTATGAAAAGAGGTGATAAGGGTAAAATTTATGATTTGGGATATATTGTATTTATGATATATAATAATCATGCTATTCTCTTAGATTTGCTTGCATTAATTCACCTTCAAATTTTTGCCAAAGTTGCTCATCTATGGTTTTCTTAATTATTTTACTCACTACTTGCTTTGTTATCTAATTATTGTTATCCACATATATTGGATAAATGACACTGTTACAGGCTAGGAAATATGATGAGCTATGGTCGACAGCTTTCAAACATGTGTACACTGTTTACCCTTCAATCCTTTAAAAAATTGCTCCTTCAAGAGGGAGAAAAGATGGTCCTTGTATGGTTGGATACACCATATGATCAGGCTGTATATGGACTTGTAGATAAATTAGGTAAGTGGCAAGTCCAAGCATTCTTGCATTATAGAATTACTGTGAATAACCTTGCTATCAGGATAGACGGTTTACTTGAAACAAGTGCTACTGATTTTGATCTTTTGCTACTTTAATTAAGAAAATGTAATCATTATTGCATATGTATTACTCTTAAGAGCATTTTTAATGGTAATCCAGGGAGCTTAGTGGTGAGAATGGTGTTTCTTTCGAAGAAAGTTCATATGCTACATTTGCCAGGCCTGCATCGGGTTTATTTCTCTCCTTTATGCTGCATGGTTTTTCTTATTTTTATAATACATGTCTATGTTTGTGTGTGCATGTATTTTAATTTTGTTTTATAGCTCTTTGTTTAATTAGATAAACAATATATCTTTGTTAGTAGATGATATAGGTTTGCAAACTCAAGTTAGTTTTTTAGATTTTATGACTGGGATTATCTTAGTTTTTGTCTAGCTGTGAACCAGTATAATGCTCCTCATAAGAGCTGTCCTTTGTTTATGAGATATGACTTCCCTACTGTGATGTTGGTCAACCAAATTTGATGTACATGGAACATGTTCTGTATTGTAATGAGTTAATAGATGTTTTGGTGATTCATTATTATATCTTGGATGATATTTTATTTATTCTAGCTAAATAATATTTGGTTTTCTTCTGTACTTTTTTTCATTGATATCTTAGCATGTATTTACAGAGTTTGAATAAGTTTGACCCTCTTAAAGAAGTGTTGTCATTTTAAAGCCTATACTTTCTGAATGTTAAATTTGTTTTCTGTCTCTGTATTGACAAAATAAATTCATTTTATCCATCTAATACTTTGGGAGTGTGTGGCAGTACAACTTATTAAATGATGCAAGTTTCAAATTTTATCAGTATTTTATCATTTTATAGGACAAGACCTGCAGAAAAGAAAAAAAATTGTTAGTAGTCTTACGGAGGCCCTGAAGCTTGTTCTGTTAGTTGGTAATTCTCTCACTTGGCTCAGATCCTTTAACTTCATTTATCAATTTATTTTTATAGGGGTGGGTCTTGGCTTCACCAGTAGTGTAATTAGGTAATGGAAGAAACATGTTTCATGTGAAATTTCGTCTTGGCCCATCTTCATTGCTGTCATTATTTAATATTTCATATCCTTGCCTTTCCTGGCCATTGTGATCTTATCTTTTTTTTTGATTAACAATTCTCATAATCTTGCTGATCAGACTGCATGTTTTCTTGGAATGAAAATTGTGCGAAATAGTTTTATGCTTCCATGAAATGCCACTGAGGCTTGTAGACTGGAAGGGCAAAATAAAGTTGAAAATAAAAGAGGAAGGAGAATCAACTTACTCCTCGTCACTTCACTTTGTTCCAACTTTTAATTTTTAGTTGCTGATGTCTGCTAATTCTGAGAAGTTATGTTGGATAGGACCAATATTGTCTGTTAAGAATCTCCTGGGAGGGTATCATGTACTTGAAATGGATCCTCTTTTTATTGTTTATCAATATTTCCTGGTCTCATGCTAATATTTCATATGCTGTAGGTCTTATATTCATGGCATTTGGCTCAAGTTAATCGTACTCTCTCATCAGATTATTGTATGGTCAGAATTGGACTGATGGAGAAGCATCGTTAGCTCTTAAATACTAATTGCTTGGTTATTGGAGCTCATCATTTGATGGTTTTGCTATTAGACTAAGTCAGATATTAGATGTTAGATGGTTTGTTTTGGTAGTTACTACTACTGAAGTGTAGCTGGTTGTTGCTAGCTTTTGTTTTGCTTTACTGGGGAGCTGAGATGAGTTCTATTGTTAAGGGCTGTCACTTTTACTGTTTTGTATGGAATTTTTATTGAGTTGAAGAGTAGTTGCTAAAGTTAAGATGTAGAGATGAAGGGATTTTTCTTTTTTTTAGCTGTGATGAATTCTGTAGCTGAGAGGTGTGCTCATGAAGAGTAATTTGTTGATCTATTTCACTCTATATGTTTTTATTTGCATGCATTTTCAGTAGTTCATGTATGTATATTGAATTTATCTACTTTTAATCTTTTATAGTTTATGTGGAAAGAAATATACATAGATGTGGAGGTCGATGAAGTTAGAGGAGAATAGGGGATGTACATATCAATCTTTTTTTTAATTATTGATGTTTTAGTGATGTCAGAGGTCAATGAGAGCAAAAAATATGTATCAAACTTTTAATTATTTATGCACTAATGCCATGGGTATTTTATCATGTATATATACAAAATTTATCTACTTTTTATCTTTTATAGTTGTTTTTGCAATATTTTAAAACTTATATTGTTTATTACACACACACGCGCGATGATTGTTGTTGGTTGAGGAATATTATGAATAATATTATTGTCCTATTCCATAGAGCCTGTTTGACTAAACTTATGAAAAATAGCTTACAAGCAGTTTGTGTTTATAAGTTAATTTGAGCTTATAAGTATTTAAAATTTAAACAGTTACATGTTTGGTTAAATTATTTATAAGTGATTGATAAGTAATTGATGCGTTTGATAAAATGTAACTTATAAGTACATTTTATTATTAAATTACTAAAAAGAGTATTACATTATTAAAAATAAGGGTATAGGATGAAATTTTAAAATTAAAAAGGGATAATGTGGTAATATGTTTGGTCAAAGTAGCTTATAAGCCAAAAAAAAAAAAAAAAAAGTATTTTCTCCCCAATTTATTTCTTTTGGCTAAGCTAATGAAAAATAGCTTATAAGCAATTACTGCTTATATGTTAATTTGAGTTTATAAGCATTTAAAATTTAAATAGTTACGTGGTTTGGTTAAATTATTTAAAAGTGATTGATAAGTAGTTGATGCGTTTGGTAAAATATGTTTTATAAATATATTTTATTATTAAAATGATTAAAAATGGTACTATATTATTAAAAATAAGAGTATAGGATGAAATTAAAAAATTAAAAAAGAGTAATGTGGTAATATATTTAGTCAAAGTAGCTTATAAAAAAAAAAAAAAAAAAGGTACTTTTTCCCCAATTTATTTCTTTTGAATATAAGTCTAAAAAAATTATAAACAAATAGGTTAATTTAATTTTAGAACTTATAAATTAGTTTGACTAGTTTATAAGCTTAGACAAACATCTCCATAATTTAATTAGTAATAATCAAGAAAATAAACTAATTACAAAAACAAAAAAAAAATTTACAAAAAAAATTCTTGACTGTTTTAAGACGGTTAAGGATGAAAAGTTATTGTTAATACATTATTATTATTATTCTATTCTATTTTATTTTTTTAGTTAAAATTAGGCCAAATCTTTGACAGTTTGGAAACTATCGAGACTCTTTTTTTATAAGGGTTTTCTTGATAGTTAATAACGGCCAAGAATCAAGGTTTTTCTTGTAGTGTGTATATCTTTTATACTTGCTTTAACAATCAAATTGATGATGTGGCAAACACATCTTTGGTGAAAAATTTTGCCTTCACTAAATAGATCCAATCTTTTTTTTTTTAAATAAAGAAATTATCGAGATGTTAACAGTTGCATTATCAAGCGTTAGTACCACAACTCTCTTAGTTAATAAATAATCTTGTAAAACTTCAATAATTATAAAATAAATAGTCTTAACACTATGTTTAGCATATAATGGTTTTCAACCTATCAATTTTTGTTGTAAACGCCAACTATGATCTAGGTAATGTATTGTGACATTCAAAAAATCTGTTTTTGATCTAGTAGTCCATATGTTTAAAGTAAGTGTAATAGATATATTCCGAAAATCTTCAAATTCTTTTTTAAGTGAATCTCTTATTTTAGTATATCCATTCTACTTGTACCTCTACTAACAGGGTCATATTGTGGACAAAAAGTAGTTTTAATCATATCAAAAAAAAAAAAAAAAAAAAAAGGATTTTCAGATAAACAAATGGGAGAGTCCGTAGCAACTATATATCTTGCTATTTCCTCTCGTGCATTGTATTGCCAGGTTGAGAGAGTTAAGGATTGTGGATTAAAATTAAGTTGAGTTTGTATTTACTTACTGGGTCTGATTGAAGTTGAACCGGACTGCATATATTAGGGGTTCTTCTTTTCCAAGTGCCACCGCATTGTTGAAATCCTGTGCTCAGCGTCAATAATGGTTGGACAAAAATTACATAACCCACACGTCTCTTCCCCTTGCTTATTTGACTTTGCCCGTTTTGATTTGGTAAAGAATTGCCATACCTCAGACACTACCCTCTTCGATGGTCTTGCCGTGATGTTGTAGCTCACTTGTGTTTGGCTAGATGTAGTCCCGACTGTTTCTGGTTGTGGAATTGTTGCATCTAGAAAGGGTGAAAATGGATCAAACCCTTTGATTTCTTTGATGGAGAGAGGAATTGGAACATAATACTCATTTGGGGATGTGATCACCCAAATGCATAATTTGGGGAATCCATTATGAATTTATTATAAAATAATAAATAACTAAAATGGAAGAAATTGAATAATATAAATAATAATATGAATAATTAGATGAATAAACATAAATATAAATTGAATAGAGTTTGAGAATTGGAGTAGAGAGAATGAGAGATTGAGAGTTGAGTGTTGTGAGGAAAATGGGTAGAAATAAGGGGTCATTTATAGTTTAGGTTTGGGGGAAAGTGAAAGAAAATAAACCTTCTTGCCCATTTTGACCGTCGCCTCAACAGTCAGTGGACTGTTGGTGCTGACCGCCTCAATGGTCCAATTTCTTATAATTTTTTTTGTAAAATTTTTGTTGACCCTAATATTTATTGACAATTTCATATAAAATAAGGGGGTTATAGATATTTACCAAGGGTTTAAATGCAATTGGGGAGGGGGGTTTGGGCCTGGGCCTGGGCCTAGGACCGGAAGAGGGACAGACCCTAGGACCGGTCCCTCCTCCTTGGGCTTGGTTTGGTTTTAGGCCCTGACCTTAAAGGACCAATCTTGGGTCCGATTCTTTGGGCCCGGGCCAAAATTCCCACCTCTACTAACGGAGTAAATAATTTTTTTTTTTATTTTTTTATTTTTAAAGAAGGCTCATTAGTGGGATATAACTAGCTCCACTTCTTTGTTATATTTTAAAATTAATTTTAACTTTTAGAGATCAGATATCACATATGTAAAAATACCAAAATAGGTATTTTTCAAATAATTTTATTATTATTAATCATATTAAAATTAACATTTTTATATAAAATTTCACCGGCAATGACCGCCCACCGTTGGCAATGTCTAGTAAGTTGACACCTCTAGAAACATTACGCTCGCCAACTGACGATCAATGCAATGGTGATGACCATATAGTGAAATATTGAAGGGTTCGTTTTATTATTTCATACCTTATTCCCTATCCTATTCCCAAACTTTAATTATTTGGGAAATACTATTATACTTTTTTAATTACTTTTATACCCCTTAAGTTTATTAATTTAATAAACACCCCTAGAAAAAAGTTTAAAAATTAACAAAAACACCCTCACCCACCCATAGTTGCTAGATTCTGGCAATCACAGTTGGTGGTTGCTGGAATCTATCACAATGGCGTAGAAACGACTGGAATTGATCGGTAATTTGCTGATTTGGCATTTTTCAATCAGATCCACGGTGGATCTAGTCGAAAAAGGCCAGATTTGACCGTCAGTGATGACCAAATCTAGCCTTTTGTGGCTGTCGACGGCCAGATCTGGCTGTAGATCTGGCCTTTTCGATCAAATCTATGGTGGATATGGCCGGAAAAGGCCATATCGATGCACGACCGGCCAGATCCGACCGGTTTGCGTCGTAACTCTATTTTTCGGCCAGATTTCGACGATGGTGGTCGGAATCTGGCACTGTGGGTGGGTGGGGGTGTTTTATATATTGGGGTGTTTAGTTAAATTAGCAAACCTAGGGGTTTTTTTGTCAATTTTTAAATTTCATCTTGTAATACTCACCCTATTCAACTAGACCTGGCAAACGGGCGGGTGTACCCGCGGGTCAACGGGTACCCATACCCAACGGGTGGGTACGGGTAACACATATTTTGATCCGTGAAAATCTGACCCGTACCCGGCCCGCCCGTGACTTTTGCGGATGGACCGGGTACTACCCGCGGACCTGCAAATTTGAAATTTAAAAAAAAATAAATAAAACTTATCAGTTATCACTCGTCAATCCTCTCACAGTCTCACTCTCAAGTCTCAACTCAAACCCTAATCTAAACCAAAACAGCAAAACTTATCAGTGAAAAAAACAAAAAATGCAGCAGCCATTCTCTTCTCTCACAGGCCACAGCAGCTCCACTGCTCCAGTCCTCTCACAGCAGCTCCACTCCCTCACTCTCTCACCCTCACAGCAGCTCCACTCTCCCTCATTCTTTGACTTCTCTAACGGCAGCAATAGGTCACGATAGTGGCAGCAAGTCATGGCAGCAGCAGGTCACGGCAGCAGTAGATCTCCTCTCACGGTAGCACCAGCACGACAACAGTAGATCTCCTCTCACGGCAGCACCAGCACGGCAGCAGCAGGACAGCAGTCAAGTCAGTGTGGTCTCTTAATTCAAACCAATCTTTAGATTAAATTGGAGTCACAATCAATTGTGGCTTGTGGGCATGTATGTGGTCATAGCATTAGATCTCACCTGGATTTGCAATTAATAATGAAGCTTCCATGAAATGACATGCACTGAAAGATCTTGTAGAGACGAATTGAAAGTTTGAAATTGAAAGAAGAAAAGACAAATCTTGCATGACAAAAAACTGCTCTGTAGGCTATAGCTTTTTACTGATTTTTTTTTTCTGTTTTGAAGAAGACTTCTAGACGACTAAGAGTCTAAGACAAGTACCAAGACCAACTATTTAAACAGACACTAAAACACTGCGTTTGACTTACTTAGATNAATCAAAAGAACTGAAATGCATAAAATTGTATATCATCTTTTCTTCTTTCTCCTGCTCTCAGAGAATGATTAATCTTTCAAGACTTCTTTGATTTGCAATTCACCGACAAAT